GGATCCAAATCAGATCTATTCTCCACCTTGTCCATTGTACCATTATCTCGCAATTTTAGCACTTTCCATGGCACCGACTGCCACAGAAGTTGAAGGTCAGAATTCTCCAGAATCTCCGCCGGAGTGATCTCGAAAAATGTCAGTTAGTGAATCGGGAGATGTTGGAACTTATTCGGCTACGGATGAAACGAAGATTCATTGAGCATTTGAGCATAGGAAAGGTTTGTTAGATATGCTGTTTAAACCTTTGGAAACGAACTTATTAGCTAGAGTCTCATTCCTTCTGCAGTTGTTTGTTTTACAACATTTTTGAGCAGAAGACAGTCCTGAGCGGTCTTCTTGTTTAGATAAGTGGTGGTGCGTTCCGATTGTGGGCACAATATTTTGAAGAGGGATTGTGTAAGTCGTTGGTGAGTTGGACCAAGAATTTCGTTTGCTAGATGATTTCGTTCTCGTTCTCGAAAAGCCGCTATATGTGAGACGAGGAAGAAGAAGATCTATCCCTTACGAAAAATCTTACCAAGTCTTTTTTGCGCAGGACAAGGAATTAGAGACGTTCGAAATGGTTGTGGGTAACCTTCCAGAACTACTCAACAACGCTGATGTACATCGGTTTGAGCTTTGTGAGGTCAGTACTGAGCAATCATTTGCAGCGTTATCAGTGATCGAAGAAAACGGAACCTTTCAAGGCCCTTTTTCATAGAGCAGCCCGCTGGCTAAACGTTTTGATGTTAAGGACGCACTTCATGAATACTGGATGGTAAGAGGAAAAATCTTCTCCGCTTCTAGGTGCCTATGTGCACGATCCGCAAAAGTGAAGTTCTGACGCAGCTGATGGCCGCGCGGCAGCCTTTACTTTCCTTCTCCTGGCCAAAGCCTAGACTAACCAGGGAAGTCTGCCAACTTACCATGGATTTTTGAATGGAGACCTGGGTAGAGCGATAGAGTCTATAAGGTTATTTACAAATATATACCATTTTCACTTTAAATCGGACACTTTTCAAACCAAATCGGACACTTTTCAAACCAAATCGGACACTTTTCAAACCAAATCGGACACTTTTCAAACCAAATCGGACACTTTTCAAATCAAATCGGACACACCCCCTACCAAGGGCAGTTGATAACTAGACCACACTAGGTACTGCTGCAAGCCCCGCCCCAACACCCCGCCCACCTTTCCAGCGCGGTCACGGTTTTCCAAAATGTTTTATGAAATCTGCTTCTTCGACTTTTTCTCACTTTTGCTAGTTGCACACACACTTCAACTGAAAAGGATTGGTACCGATACAGATCTGACTCCGCCCACTTCACAATCAAGTGACGTAAGTTCTGAATTTTTATAACTTTTTTGACGTCTTTTTTTCACATTCAATCTTCACAAAACGAATATAGCCATGCATTTACACACTAGCACACTAGGCCCCGCCCCTCTGACCACGCCCACTTTCGTTTTTCGCGGAATTTTGATTTTTTTTTGAATTTGCACTTTTTAAGGCTACGAC